GGGGGGGGGGCTGCTCCTGCAAGCGTTGAGGAAGCAGAGAATGATGGTTGCTTGCGGAACAGAAAACACGTCTGTTGTCCATTTGGGATCAATTCTGATCATACATTGTTTGGTTGATCAGTTCATGGACGACCAGTTCAGAAGTTGAGAGTTGTGTGCTGCTTCCGGAAGAGAAGCTTTTGAATGTCCAGGGGCACACCATGTTGTACTGGCAAATTTCCATGAGGAACCACTGGAATGCACAGTCAGGGGAAAACCATGCTTACCGTTTTCAAATACAGGAGAAGCCCTAAAGGTGCCAGTCCTGAAGGCATCAGTCATCCAACAGAAGTGTGGGCTCTCATGCATAAATCTGCATCCCTTGCCCATCTGGGGGTTTGCCCAGCAAACATTCAATGGCAGCTTAATCCTGTGCATGTCAGAATTAAGAGCAGTGGTTCCCAACCCTGGGTAATGCAGTTGTTCTTCGACTGCAATTCCCAGAAGCCTTCACCACTAGCCGCAGTGGCCGGGGGTTTCTGGGAGCTGCAGTCCAACAACCCTTGGGTTACCTGAGGTTGAGCAACATAGCCTGGTCACCGACTGGAGATGAGAATGGGCTTCCCCAGTATAATTCTGGGGAAAAAAGTCATCTTCTCCTCCCCCACCACGCTCACAGATTGTAGCAGTGTTGTTTTCCCTATAGCTCAGCTGAATAGGTGGGGGAAGTGGGGCCCAAGCACATAATCGGAAACCTTAAGTCTTCAGAGGTCACAGACCTACAGAAGGACCCCCTAGCCGCTCAATCAGTATCCACTGGTTCATTTACCTGCTGGCTGAAAATGTTAAATAAAAAACCCAAGAAATACACATTTATATCTATTTCCAGGGTGTATTTACCAGAACTGCTTTTTTTGGGCATCCACGGGGGTGGGACCGATCTCGTGTAGGTACCATGGCTGTCCTGTATCCTTTCCCCAAAAATACACATTTATATCTATTTTCAGGGTATATTTACCAGAACTGCTTTTTTGGGGCATCCACGGGGGTGGGACTGATCTAGTGTAGGTACCATGGCTGTCCTGTATCCTTGTTCTATAGCAGTGATTGCAGATGGTGAGGATAAGGATAGAAGTGTGTATTTATTTTCACAGTGACAGGAAAGCATCTGTCCACTGATTATCCAGTGTATAGTTTGGTGGGGGTTTGGGTGGCAGAGTGTCGGCCCATTTTAATCCACTCAGGCTAGCGTGGCCTCCAAGTGGCATGAATCTTTGGGACTGACGCTCAGAGGTCTTCCTGAGCCTTACTACTGCCGTAGTTGAGCCTAAGACATCAAAGGTTCGTCTCGGGACCTTAACTGTGCAAAGCAAGGGTTCTTTCCGTGCGCTGCTGTTGCTCATCCCTAGTTAAACCCTGCAGTCAGATTTCTGGGGATTATTATCTGAGCAGCCCCTTCACATGTCTTGTGCCCCATGAGCCATGCTTTCCAAATTTAGAAATTAGCTTGGCTTTTATCACTTGTGAAAATAGCTTTGAACCAGATTGATTTAGAATGCTGCCTTTAAAGAAAAAGACGCTCCTGATGATCTGTTTGCATTCAACCAGAAAGCACTGATGATGACAAAATCGTCAGCTACCACTGGGAAGAACTGAAGGGCCCGCTTCGGGAGGAAAAAGTATCCGCAGATACGCCTATTCTGAAACTGACCAACTTGGTGCCAGGGAATTACACGTTCAGGTGAGACAACCCATATGGCAGTTATGCCAGTTTTGAATTTTCCAGGTCTAAGGCAAAAGGGCAATTTAGATTATTGGCATTACGTGCTGTCAAATGGCTTCCTGATCCAGTTTCTGAGGTAAGTCGGATGTTCAAGGAATGGTTTCACCCTTGTCATCCCCTAGTGAGATTCTGTGGGCAAGCAGGACTTTGAGACCAGATCTCCTGAATTAATGTTATTGATGTATTTTTAAAAAAAATATTTTTACCTGGCCTTTCTCCTTAAGAAACAGCCAAGGTGGCTTACATCATTCAAAGACAGTATTTAAAGCAAAAAATGGGAGGTATGCAAATACTAAAAAGAATCAAACAGATGCATACTCAAAGACAGTAAACAAATGCAACACCAAAAACGCATTCAAAGCTGTGAGATGCAACCATCCATTTAAGAACCCATTCAGGCAGCTGGTCACAGAGGGAAAGCTTGCCTGAAGAGAAAGGTCTTCACCTGCTTGCGGAAGGACAGCCAAGATGGGGCCAGGCTGGCCTCCAGTGGGAGGGAGTTCCAGAGTCTTAAGGAGCAGCCGCAGAAAAGGCCCTCTCTTGAGAAAGGCTGCCTCTGATTATTTTAACACTTGATCAGGCTCATAAAGGGAGACACGGTCCTTGAGATCACTTGGACCCAAGCTATTTAGGACTCGAGAGCTAGCACTTTGCGTTGGGCCCATAAACAGACTGACAACCGTTGGAGCTGCTGTAAGCAAAGGCGTATGTGATCCCTGTAACCAGAATGCCCAGAATTGAATCCTGCCCCAACACCTTCTCTGATACACCACATTGGTCCCCCAGTCTAGATTACACAAAACAATTCATGGTGTGAGTCCCTGGAACAGCACAGAGATAATGCACCCTTTGTGTTGTTCGATTTATTTCTCTAAGCCTCCATGAATGTGCAGTCATCAGCTCAGCAGTTCATCAAATAAAACGAGAGAACTTTCTTGCTATCTGCTAGCCATATTTAGGTGCTCTGTTGGCGGCAGAGGCTGCAGCTGTTTACATGACATGGCCCGCTCCCGTCGTATACTGTTTTATTTCACCAGACAGCTCACGTGGGCCCAAAAAAAATAATAAGTGGAAAAATGGATCAACGCTCACTTTTTTCTTCTCCTCCTGCTCTTACTCCACCTCCTGGCTAAATCGCTTTAAAAACAGGAGGCGGCATGGAATACCTATTAAAAATGCACCATGAAAATCTCAAATGGATTACTAGGTGGGGATAAAAAGGTTCAGTACCAAATCAATTATACTAAAGCCTTAACACAGAAAGTGAATACATTTGGTAGGGACATCTGTAGAGGAGTGTCTTTTATAAAAGGTTCAAGGACGTTAGAGAAGAATTCTGTAATAATTCAATTTTCTTCGGATTCCTTGCTGGCATCAGCTTAATAGCTACGAAATAAGGGTTACTGTACGTGCATCTGCCATGCTCTCGTGGTAGAAATATTTAAAGAGCTGAAGAAGGAAATTGTGTTTCCAGCAAAGGTGCTAAGCCTTGAAGAGAGTACTTTTTGATTTGTTCCGTGTTCAATTAGCACAGCTATATTGCATATCCGTGTGTTATGTTGTCCCTCTGAAAAGGGAGTTAAAACCCGGTAAAATACTTTGTATGTTCTTTCCTGCTCTCAAGAGCTGTTTCCAGGCTAGATTTGCCAGTTATGGTAAATAATTAACTATCTGCATGTCTTTTACTATAAACTGCTTCCTAAACAGAAGACAGGTACAGTCTCTCTATATTGCAAAAACAAAACCATGCTTGGACGGATTTTACTTTTATGTAAAGTCTGCACTGAATCTTAGACTGCGTGGCTGCCTTTCTGATATGCGTCAGTCTCGTCCTTGTTTTTCAATTGTCTGTTGAAAGATTTCATTATTATGTGTTTTCTGAGAGCCTTTGGTAAGGTTATTTTCGTTCTGGCGGTGAAGAGTAGCTTCAAAACAAACTGTTTATAGCTGCAAGTAGGTCTTCTAAATTGTGGCATTGTTCGATCCAGATGAACCTGGGCAAGAAAAAGAACGGCTGAAAATTCCCTTAGTTATCCTGCAAAATTAATTTCCCCCTTTATCCTGCAACTTGTATCCTTCTGTCTCAAGCCCCAATTTTTTTTAAAAAACCCCACTATTTTGTATATTCCTGCATATTGGCCTTCACAACAGCTGAACTGGAAGTGTGTGAATTTAAAAAGCTAATGGTTCAAAAGCATGTAAAAATGCAAGTAGATAAATAGGTACCACCTCGGTGGGAAGGTCACGGCGTTCCGTGTCTAGTAGCGCTGGCCACGTGACCACAGAAACTGTGTTCAGACAAATGCTGGCTCTATGGCTTGGAGACGGGGATGAGCACCGCGCCCTAGAGTTGGACACGACTGGACAAAAATTGCCAAGGGGAACCTTTGGCTTTGCTTCCTTACGACTGGGGAAGAAGGATGTTTTGTTCTTCAGACGTCCAGTTCATTTTCTGCAGTTAAGCTGAGACCTAATGCTTGTAGCTCCTTGAACCCCCCCCTCCCCTTTCCATCTCTTCAACGCCCTCTTTCTTTCGTCTTCTCTCTTTCAGCCTCACTGTGGTGGACTCCGACGGCGCCAGCAACTCCACCACGGCCAGCCTCACCGTGAACAAAGCAGTGGATTATCCCCCCGTCGCAAACGCAGGCCCGAACCAAGTCATCACACTGCCCCAAAACTCCATCATCCTCTATGGGAACCAGAGCACAGATGACCATGGTATTGTCAGCTACGAATGGTCCCTCAGCCCCAACAGCAAAGGGAAAGTGGTGGAGATGCAGGTAAGAGCTGCTGGCATCATGCCCACATTTCTTGATAAATATTTATTCTTATACTTAGAAGCCAGAAAAGCTGGGAACTGAAGTGGCAGATATGATCAGGAAAGAATGAGAAAAGGCTGTCCCTGTAATCAGAAGAAAAGAAAAACCGTGATGGATGACTGATAATACTCTGAAAATGTTTTAATGAGAGTTGGAAAGAAAAGTAAAAGGTGACAGAAATAGGGTCATAATCTGAAATGTAACTTTCCAGTGTCTTGGATGTTGGAACAAAAAGCTGTTATTACGATCATCTTAAAGAGAGAGAACATCCCACCTCCCCAAAAAAGGAAAAATAAGAGTTATCTTCCATAAAATCCAAGAAATGAAAGGAGTTTAAATCTAGGTTAGCAATGCTGAAGTATCAGCAGGGGAATATATTATCTGATCAAGATAATATACAGAACATGGAAACAGTATATTGAAGAACTACACAAAGGCATGCAAGGGTGACAGATTTCTCCAGAGAATAATCTTTTGATGAAAATCTACAATTTTAGAAAGGGGAATGAAGTTGCTCTCAAAGCACTTTGAGAGAAGCAATAAATAAGAATAGATGGGGCACCAAGGAGCTCTTGCAAGCTTCAGAATCTCTCAAAAGTCTTATCACGTACGCCAACAAACAACGAAAGATGAAACCGCTCCTTGCAATTTGGAAACGTTCAAAATACTGTTCAATCTCAAAGAAAGGCACAACCAAAAATAGTAGTAACTATAACATTGCAAGAAAAGTGATACTTAGGTTTTTACAACAAAGATTTTTATCGTACATGGAGCAAGAAATGCCAGATGTTTAAGTTGGATTTAGAAAAGGAAGAGGCACTAGAGATCATACTAAAAAATATTCAAGGGCCAGTAAAGTATACCAAAAGGATTTCATGAAAACCTCAGTTTTTAAAGTAGGGTATAGTAAAACTTTTGACTGTGTGAATTGTGAAAAGCTATGGTTTGTTCTTGAGGAAAATGGTGTGTTGCAACATTTGATTGTCTTGATCCATAACGTATACTCTGGAAAAACATGCTGCTGTTCAGACAGAATGTGAATTGGCGAATGTGTCTGGCCCTTGGCTAAATCCCATTTCCTTGCCACAGATACAGCAGGACCCCTTTATCCACAGGATCAGTATGCACTGATTCACTTATTCATGGTCGAAAAACATAAAAAATATGAAAAGTCCCCTCCCCGTACGTTTAACAATGAAGTGACCGGAACTGGCCACTAGAGGGAGCCAGAGATTTTGTTCTGTGTCGTGTGTGTTTGCTATTTATTATAAGAGAGTTTTGTATCATTTCCATTTTTCGGCATCCATAGGGTGGCTTGGAACGGATCCCCTGTAGATACTATGTTTGTTTCTTTCCTTTGTCGTAGTAGCAGCAGTCGTATTTATGCACTTTTCCACAGAAGATGGTTTAAGGCAACTGAAGACGAAGCAGGAATAATTTAGGGCTTAACTTAATCTCACGGTTTGTCATTCCAAAGGGAGTGAGGACTTCGACCCTGCAGCTCTCAGCCATGCGGGAAGGTGACTACACCTATCAGCTGACGGTGACCGATTCTGCTGGCCATCAGTCCACCGCCGAGGTGACGGTGATTGTGCAACCTGGTAGGCGTTCGAGATCTGTATCAAACTCCCAGGTTTTGTACAGTAAAGCAGCACCCCTTCTTCGGGATTCACAATCTAAAGACTGCAAATAACTGTGGGATAAAAAAGTAATATGTGAAGCTCAGTGTGGAAGGCAACTCCTTGATTGCTGAGATATACTGGGAAATGTAGTTCAGAAGGTCGTATTTTCAAGCCCTCGGTCATTAAGCCAGAGATACAGATTTGTAAGTCCTGTTCCTTTTGTTGAAGCAGATTTGAAACCGCTGAGCAGAGGTAGGCTATTTGTCTAGATGGGCTGGATATAAATCTAGTAAAATAAATAAATTAGCTTTACTCATCATACCAACATAGATAAATGCATGTCTGACTTTTTTTTCCAGGAGCAGTTTTCTCTCCTGCTTCTCTCCTGGCTGTCAGTATGCCATAAAATGACGTTTGAAAACTTCTTCAGTTTTTAAAAGCAGCCCCTGTGCCCCAACGCAGCAAGCTGCTATTCAGGAAAAATAGGGACGTAGAAAGTCTTGCTAAGGGCGATGCCATCATCATCATTGTTCTTTTGTAAGCCACAAAGGGAATTGTTATGGGCACTCTGTGCTCTGGCTAGCTCAGTGAGTTAGGTCTCTGGCTGTGGAGCCAAAGGTTGTGAGTTCGAATCCCCCACTCTGCGCCCTTGGGCAAGCTGCACAGTCCCAGGGCGCCCTCTAGAGGAAGAGAATGGGAAACCACTTTTGAGTAGTCTCTCTTACTTGAAAAACCCTGGAAAGGGTAGTCATAAGCCAGAATTGACTTGACAATGTATGATGATGATTATTGTGCTTTCGGGCAGAAGTAGCACTTTATGTATTTTATGTGTGTATGTGTATGTGTCTCCTAGTACATTTTGCCTACGTTAGTAGGAGCGATAAAGCCACATAGTTGGGGGGAAAAGATAGCGTATCTGTATGTGGTGTTGTCTAAAATTAACCATTTCTAAATATACAACTCTTTAAAATCAGTTTTGAAATTAGAGCTTAAATGCTTTTTAAAAAGATTCCGGCTCTGTAACACAATTATTTCAACTTGTTAAAAGCTGATAAGGTTTTATAGATTTTTTTGGTGCTAATTGAAAGATGGAAGGAAATAGGGGCCGGGGAGATGCATACAGAGCTAACTTAACAGACCAGAAAGTCTGCCTTTAAAAAAAAAATTAATTTGAATGGTGCAATGCTTTGATTTATTGCATGTTGTGATAATCCTTAAAAATCTCTAGGTAAAACTAGTTGCTGTAAAATCAGGTTTTAATAAATAGTCTGAAAAGGTGGTGCTGATTAAAAGCATAAGAGGCAGCGAAAAGGGGACAGGGTGTGGGTGGGTGCTGTAGGTGTCGTTGCCTGATATAGCATTGCTCATGTCAGAACCACAACATTAAAACACCACGAACAGATGAGGGAGAAGTTGTATCAAAACAACCTGCACCGATGCAGTCTGTTTTCTCTGTGCATCCTTGGAAAAACCTCCTTTTCCCGTGATTCCTATCAGGTCTACGCCTTGTAAAAGAGCAAGCAAACAAGACCTGCCAGTTCCAGAGCAGACACCCAGGGTGGAAGGCAAGCACCTCGGATTTCATGGTACCGAGTGTTCACGAAGGGCCATAGCTCAAGGAGTGAGGGGTCATAGCTTAAGGAGTGGTGCGCACAAGTCCCACAACAGGCTGCTTCAGGGGAATGTTCCTTGTGTTTAGACCAGGGGTTCCCAAACCTTTTCGAGTCACAACCCCCTGTAATAATAGCCAAGTAACCTGCCACCTTCCCCACTGTATTTGCATAAATAGGCATTTCTAATGGGGTCAAGGCCTCCCTGTAATGTCCTGCTCCGAAAGGTCAAGGAAGAATGAGTCGCAACCCCCTTTAATAATAGCCAAGTAACCTGCCACCTTCCCCACTGTATTTGCATAAATAGGCATTTCTAATGGGGTCAAGGCCTCCCTGTAATGTCCTGCTCCGAAAGGTCAAGGAAGAAATTATTTAAGAAGATGACTTCGTATTTGCATACGACTTGCTCTCGTGTTCCATGTGTAGCTCATGCCTTTTTTCTTTCAGAGAACAACAAGCCCCCCAAGGCCGACGCTGGATGACTTGCGAATCCCCAGAAAACACTTGTGATCTCCCCCCTGCCCCAGGTTGGGAAACACGGATGCAGACGGGCCCTCAGTTCAGTTCTCAGCCTCCCTAGTGTTAAAGAATTAGAGGCAGAAAGATTGGGAAGAACCCCACCCCCAATCTTGAGTTGCTGGCAGCAATGTGGATGATCAACGACTTGTTCTCATGTTCCATGTGTAGCTCATGCCTTTTTTTTCAGAGAACAACAAGCCCCCCAAGGCCGACGCTGGTCCTGACAAGGAACTGACCCTCCCAGTCGACAGCACGACCCTGGATGGAAGCAAGAGTTCAGATGACCAGAAGATTGTCTCTTATCTTTGGGAGAAAACACGGTACCCCCCCCTCTTTCTCTCTCTCACCTGCGTACGACCTAGGCGGGCCAAACCAAAATGAAACAAGAGTCACCAGTCCCACCTTAACATACCTAATGTGCATGATGCATGCGCAGACTTAAAGCATGTTGTTGTTGATTAGTCGTTTAGTTGTGTCCGACACTTCATGCACCAGAGCACGCCAGGCCCTCCTGTCTTCCACTGCCTCCCATAGTTGTGTCAAATTCATGTTGGTCATTTCGATGACACTGTCCAACCATCTCATCCTCTGTCGTCCCCTTCCTCTCTTGCCTTCACACTTTCCCAACATCAGGGGCTTTTCCAGGGAGTCTTCTCTTCTCCTGAGAGGGCCAAAGTCTTAGAGTCTCAGCTGCAGGATCTGTCCTTCCAGCGACTTAAAGCATATAACCTGCTTCCCCTCTTCTCTCACGACCCGAGTTTCTGTGGTGGGTAGACGGCTTCATGCAGGGTTTTGTTCCAGGGGCCCAGATGGTGTGAAACTGGAGAATGCCAACAGCAGCGTGGCCACCGTCACGGGGCTGGAGGTTGGGACGTACGAATTCACGCTGACCGTCAAGGACGAACGGAACCTGCAGAGTCAAGGCTCAGTCAACGTCATCGTCAAGGAAGGTGAGTCTCTGGGGACAGCGGGAGCATCTCGACTACAATAAGGCCCCGCTGAGAGAGAGCGCGTGAGAGAACGAGAGCTTTTTTCCCCCTTTGTCACCCTTTGGGGTGACGCAAGGGGCAGGGAGTTGCCGGAGAGAAGGGGGGTGGACGAGACCTCTGAGGGGTTCAGATTTCCAAAGGAGATCCCAGAGCGCTCTGGGTGGCCTTCAGTCCATGCTTAGATCTCAGCCTGGGGTGTCCTGTCTGACAGGGTGGTTGCGAGTAACGGGGAAAACTTGTTTACCACACCCTGCGTTCCTTGAAGAATGAGCAGGATATGGAAACAACAAGTGGAAATCAACACGGCTCATTTTCTTTCTCCCGTCAGCTACCGCCAGGCCCTTCTCATGTCTGCAAATGATAAAATCTAAATATTCCCTCTGCATCTTTTTCTGAGAAAAACAGCTCCAAACACAGCCGCCTCTTCAGGCCAATAATTCTGCTGCTTGTTTTTCTCCTAAGACGCCTTTTTCAATGTCACAAATTTCCAGAAACATAAAATATACCTATGTCTTTGTTAACATCTTGATGAATGAACATTTTTAAAAAATCATTGTGCTGGACAGAAAGAATTTTACCCTCTCATAAACTTTGCACCTGTACATTTCAGCTGGCAGGTGGCTGTAGGGTGAGGGAATCCATCAGAAGCCTCTACTGAGTCTCTAAGGCCCCAGTGATGGGCAGGATCAGTGGGAACGCGCAAGACCCAGAATACCAGCATATTTTAGATTACAGTGCTTAAGTTCTCCCTGCCAAGGCTTTGTGAAATCATTTTAATTGTTTTTAAGGGGCAGAAAACATATGAAACCTGCGAAGAGTTGCGGCCTCCAGAGGCCACTCTGGGTGGGCTCAATTCAGTATTTGGTCCTTAGATCCTGCATTCTGGCTCTAAAGGGAGTTGGTCATTGGTGAAAATAAGCAGCGATAGTTGATATGAACAAAGTTTCTGTGTCTCCCTGGGGAGGCTTGCGGGATGAAGGTCTGTGCACATGGGAGAGACGGAGAGGCGGATGATGATGATGATGATGTGCCAGATTCTGGATTTCTCCGTTCAAAAACAGGATCCCACCAGAGAGCCTGCCCAGTATTCCCTTTATAGATTGGCCGGGGGCGTCTGCCGGCAGCCCAGAAGGAGAACGTAGCGGCCAGGGTGCCTTCTGTTGCCTCCGATAGCCACCTTGCCTTGATACAGCAAATTGGCTGTGTGTTGCTCCAACTCGTTCAAGCTTCCTTTAGTCCAGCTCTTTAGCCCCTTTGCAGTTCCTTCGATCCACCTCTGCCTAACTCTTCTTCCCCAGAGATCAATAAGCCGCCCGTGGCCAAGATCGCCGGGAACGTGGTCGTCACCCTTCCGACCAGCACCGCGGAGCTTGATGGCTCCAGGTCGACAGATGACAAAGGGATCGTCACCTTCCTGTGGACCCGGGATGAGAACAGCCCCGCGGCTGGGGTGAGCCGCCCCTGCGCGCCTCTCTGCAAGTCCAGCCTCGGGGGGGTGGGGGTGGCGGCGTGTGAAGGAGATGGGGGGAGGGGAATGCCTCTCTGCAAGTCCAGCGTTGGGGGGGGGGGGCTGTGAAGCAGATGGGGGGGGATCTCCGCCCTGGAAGTTTGGCTATCAGGTGGTTTCTCTGGGCCGGGGTGGGCAAGGGGTCTCCTCCCCCCTCATCACACCAGGGAATGCTGTGTGCCCCTCCAAACCTCCCCAGAGCCCTGATCTGCCAAACACCTTGGGGAAAAAAAATAGTTTCCCTTCCAAAATGTAAATCCCCCCCAAAAAAATAGCTGAAATAGAAGTATTTTTAGGAGCCTCTTTGGGGCCTTAGAAGGCCTGTTTTGAAAAGAAGTAACAGATCAGGTGTTTCCTGTTGTAAAAGAAGACCCCAAGGGGGTCAAAGTTGGTTTGATAGAGCCAATTGCACTTCCCCAATACCTCCGGCTGCATTTTGCCATCTCTCTCTCTCTTTTGGAGTGCTTTTCATGAGTGGGGTTGTTAGCATGTGGCGTAGGGTCCTTGGAGGTTCGGGAGGAAGTCGAAAGGGCTCTGGATCCCTGGAGGTTGTGTACCCCTGCTCTAAGCGTCCCGTGGCCCTTTGGAACTGTTGCTCTGTTACCTTGTGTTGCACACCTGTTTCTTCCTTGAATCTAGGAAGTATTAAACAGTTCGGACCACCACCCAGTGCTTTTCCTCTCTAACCTAGTGGAGGGAACATACACGTTCCACCTGAGAGTGACGGATGCCAAAGGAGAGAGTGATCTGGGGAGGGCCACCGTGGAAGTCAAACCTGGTGAGTTGGAACTGTTGCTCTGTTACCTTGTGTTGCACACCTGTTTCTTCCTTGAATCTAGGAAGTATTAAACAGTTCGGACCACCACCCAGTGCTTTTCCTCTCTAACCTAGTGGAGGGAACATACACGTTCCACCTGAGAGTGACGGATGCCAAAGGAGAGAGTGATCTGGGGAGGGCCACCGTGGAAGTCAAACCTGGTGAGGTGAGGACAATAGAAATACAACAGTTGCCAGAAGCCTTTCCTGCTTCGCCTTTCCTGGTTGGGATCCAAACAGTGTTTCCCTCCGAGGTTTCTGTAATTTGCCAATTGTGGCTAATAGTTGAGGCAACAGGGTGTATCTCAGTCAAGCGGTTAGGCATGCGACCTGAGAGGAGGGCTCAGCACTTTGTCAATTAGCCGGGATGAGTTGTGACAAATTATGCAGACTTTCTGCAAAAACACCCCCTTCCATGAGATTTTCCACAGATTGAATCTTTTCTGGATGCTCCGCACAGCTTTTGGTGCTAAACCAGAGACAAGAGATTCTCCCAGGGTATTCAGTTCCTCACCTTTAGGTATCTCTGGTTGCATCACGTTCCACCTCCAACGGATGTTGTTGTTACGTGCCATCAAGTTCCCCTCGATTTATGGCGACCTCATGATTTGAGGGATCTCCAAAGAGTCATGTCCTCAACAGTGTTGCTGAGCTCTTGCAAACTCAAGCCTGTGGCTTCTTTTACAGAGTCCATCCATCTCGTATTTAATCTTCCTCTTTTTCTACTGCCTTCCACTTTTTCCAGCATTATCGTCTTTTCCACAGAACTCTGCCTTCTCCTGATGTGCCCAAAGTAGGGCAACCAAAGGATCAGGCCAACTAGACTTTCCAAATCGACTGAAGTGCCCAGTGGAGGTGGTTCTTGTCCACTAACCCTTGCTCCTCTTGCCCCCGCATTCCCTCCAGATCCAAGGAAGAACAATCTCGTGGAGATGATACTCGACGTGAACGTCAGCCAGCTGACCGAACGGCAGAAGGGCATGTTCATCCGTCAGATAGGTGTCCTTCTAGGTGTCCTGGATTCGGATATCACTGTCCAGAAGATTCAGCCGTACACTGAACAGAGGTAGGGAGATCCGGAGGGGATCTTTACCAGTGTAGTCCTAGAACAGGGAGTAGAGATGCCAAGGGGTTTCTGCAGCAATTTGCTAACTTTAAAAACAGAGATGGGGAAAGTAATGCAACTCTCATTTTGGACATATTATCTGGATGGTGATTCCTACCCGGAGTAGATTGATCAACCTCTTTCCCCAACCCCCAAATCATTCACATTTACTAGATAATGAGAATTTCAGGGTGTATGTGCACACCCACATAGGCTTTATTGACAGCCTCTATTGTAAAAGTGCTACATCTTAAAATACAAGCATCCTTTTCCTTGCAAGATCTCAGTCCGTGGAAGACGATTTTTCCCACTTAACAGCTAAAAGCTGGATTTGCACAAAATGACTGACCTTTCCATCACTCGTGAAGTCACTTTTCTCTCCCCTGTTTCACATAATTAAGCACCAACCAGACACTTCAGCAACTGACTGTGCGTGAATTGGGAAAACATGGAAAGAACTGCCCATTGGGTGCATCAAAAGGGGTTGAGAGGGGAGAGACAGCCCACCTTCAATTCAGAGCCAGCTCTGTGTGTCCTTTTGAGGAATAAAGAAGGGGGAAAGAAACCCTTAACCAGAAAAAAAGGTTGTACACACATCCCTGTTTACATACGATCAGGATAAAAGATCAGGATAAAACACCTATTTGGGTGTGTGGTGCCTCCTACCTTTATTTATTTATTTATTGAGAAATTGGGCTGCCAGCCTCACCTGCAAACCAGACTTTTTCGTGGCGCAGTGGTTAAACTGCAGAACTGCAGCCAAAACTATGTTCGCAATCCAGGGTTCAATCCCAGGTCGCCGGCTCAAGGTTGACTCGCCCTTCCATCCTTCTGAGGTCGGTAAACTGAGTACCCAGTTCCCTGGAGTGGGTGGGGGGCAATGTGTAGCCTACATAATTATGTGGTAACACCCTCCCAGAGGGTGCTTTAAGCACTGTGGGTGAAATATAAGCAGTGCACTTTGCTTTTTGCTTTGAAGGGGGGGGCAGGAGGAGATTTTGGTCTGTGTCGCCTTGTGGAAGAGGCGAAGAGTCATGCTTGAGGCATTGCAAGGATCCAAAGCTGTTGGCGGACCTGGAATGAGCATCAGGTGCTCCCTCCTCTCCCTGCTGTTTACCCGAGGACAGCAATTGCCAAAACTCAGAAGTCTTCATTTCCCATAGAACCTTCCTGTCCAGCAGACGAGTGTTTACTTGCTGTTGGCCTTCTCGGACGTTTTTATCCTCTTGGTCACGAGGTGCTCAAAAGGAGCGGCCTTTGGGCTTTCTGTTCTCATCCTGTCTCCTTTCCCTCTTGTCTGCTCCATTTTCTTGTCTCAGGCCAGACACTGGCCATTTTTCCACCAAGAAGAGAGAAAGGGGTTTGTTTCCGATCAGTATGTATTTGGCTACAATTAGGGAAGCATTAAGCAAATGGAATATGGTGGCACCTTGCTCCTCTCTTTCTCTCTTTTTAACAGTTCCTTTTATTTATTTATTTTTTTAAAAGATGATCTCCCGCATCAGGTAGGTAGAATGGGGTTCTGCGTTGTTCCGTTCTGGCGCAGAGTACCTTTCTCTGCTGGTTTACAGACCAGAATAGGTTCTTCAACATCTTGCCTTTTATGAGCAGATCTGTACATTTCATTTTGCAAAGTCTGCAATATATATAAATCCTGGAAAGAGGGGGCAGCTGTTCACACACAGTTCCATAATTATTCCACTTCCAGGACTTGACCTCACCAAATACTTGGTTTTCTTGCTCCCCCAAATCTTGTGCATTTGTTGAAAATCAGGGTTTAGGAAGAGTTCTAATAGTCCCTGCCATTTACTGGAGATTTTGTATTTCGGAACTTTTTGTTTACATTCTTTCTCTCTTGCCCCAGACTAGTGATTCTGGTTGGCCACTGTCCATGCCCACCCCCTTTTTTTGGCAGCATTGAGATTTCTTTGTTCCTTTTCAGCACTAAAATAGTGTTCTATGTGTGGAACCAGTCTCGACACCAGCTTTTCGGAGGACACGACGTTGCATGGACCCTCAAGAGCGAACTGTGGAAGCAACAGCCGGGCTTCCTCATCTTCCGGGCCCTGGAGATCAACACAGTCAGTAAGTCAGAAGAACAGAAGCAGCTTTCCATTCCTTGTCTCCCTTTGCATTAGTGTCTTCTTGTGAAAAAAAGAGAGGTTCCTTCTGCTCCCCCCTGACCCTACTCCTGATTTTCACATTGCTTCTTGCTGGTACAGCATCGTGGGGGTGGGGGAGAATCGGTGAGCAAGAGGCTGCTTAATGGGACCCTATTTCTTTTCCCAGATAAATTCCGAAGAGAGTAAATTATAGGCATTCCACTTTCAGCCTCCTTCCCAAAAGCACTGGAGACGGATGGTCCCGGTCGTTGTTTTCTGCCCCAGAGAGTTGTAGGGGACACGGCCCTCTCCAGCGTGTACAGGCTGACATCGCTGCTCTCTTGACAGATGGGCTGAGCACCGGG